TTTAAAGAGTTTAGGGAGTTTTTTTTAAGTTTTGCTTCCTCGGCAAAATAAGGAGCGAATTCCTTTTCAAATTGTTTAGCACAACCATAGTCATTATTGATATATATATGGGAATAAAACTTAGGGGTTTTTATTTTTTCTCTTCTATCGTATTTTTTACCTTTATGATCTCCATAAGAAGTTTGGAAAAATTTATAAATTTTCATGCCGGATAATAAACCTGATTTTTCAGCTTGTTCTAGATTGGCTCGCATTGAAAATGATTTGGCTAAATATTTAGTTAGGTAGGCGACCACCCCTTCGGCAGATTTAATTGGTTTATTGCTAATTTTTAAATGGGAAAGTTGTTTAATATCCACTAATCCATAAGGTCAAATATCATGAACAATATACGCCCGATGGTCTCAACAAACCTGGGGATTTCCTTGACTATTATATTTACCCAGTCCGCAAATCTCGTGGTTGTATTTGAGGGGCAAAAAATTGGTCGAGAGCATATGAATATGCCAATTGCGGTGACAATCATGCCTAGTTAAGCAAAAACAATGGACCTTATCATGGTTTTTTCAAGAACTTTTGCGGTGCTTTTTGCCTTCCCAATGGCAAGGAGTTTGGCATTTATGGAGTTCCGGAACCGCTACATATTTAAATCCAGTCGGTCTTCACTTTTTTTGAATATCACTAATGGCCTGATTAAAAAGGTCATTCGCTCCCTCTAAATTCCTTCCCATCCTTTTTTTAGCGATTTTCTTCTCAGCCAAGAAGGAAGAAGTTAGGTGAGAAACCCGCTGGTAAAAGTGCTTTCCATTACAACCAGAAACCGGACATTTTCGCTTTTTTCGCCAGGGAGAAAAGGAAAAAGACATTTTTTTCTGATAATTGTTGAAGGTGAAAGTAGAAAAATATAATCCTCGGTCAAAATCCTCCGGAGTAAAGTTCATGAAAGTTTTTTGTTGAAAGTTCCGCAAAGAAGTATAAAAACTACTTTTTTGAGTTAAATTGACCGCCAATTGGTGCAATTCTTTTTCCGCTTCTTCATCGTGAAAAATAGACTTTTTTTTCTTTTTGGGACCTTTTCGATAAATGCCAAGGGGAACCTGGCCGAAAGAGATTTTAGCCCTCTGAATTTTCTCACCAAAATCCGTAATGGAAAAATTAATTAACTTGCCGGAACTAGCCGAGTCAGTAAATAAATTAGTAAGATCTTCCAGTTGCAAAATAGAGAATTAAAATTAATGATATATAATTTAATTTTTTGACTTAGAATGAGTTAAATAAGTTAAAAATAGAGAGAATTCAAGGTCAGGAGTTTCTCAAAGGAATTAGAAACAAACTCAAAATCAAATCGATAAAATGATAAAAAGTATTGAAAACTTGGTTAGTGCGGACAATGTTTTTCAACAAAAAAGTCCACGAGCAGCAAATAAAGGGCTATTCCGCTCAAACCGCTTCCCTAAAAGATAATTTTCCGTTAGTTCCGGTAATTGTGGTTGGTTCTTTATCTATCCTACTAATTATTCCAATAATTATTATTGGAAATCACAAAATTCGGAAAAGGAAATAATTTATGACTTTTCTAAATACTTAATTACTGATTGGGCGGCAATAGCCCCTTCGGCCACCGCCGTAACAATT